GGTAAAAGCATGAAATAATCACTGGTTGGCAACTTGGAGAATTATAAAAGCAAGTTCTTCTTTTCGGAACAAGTAAAGAAATTAATAAAGAAAGCAAGTAAAGAATTAATACCAGGATCACTAGCAAGCTGCCATCATAACGCGGTACAGTTTCATTTGTTCTATAATACTACTTTTTGCAAAGACAGTACAGTACAAGGAGAATATAACAGTTGTCGGAGTACTGAATCTAATACATGTGGAATCACAAAAAAAACATTTTAGTACTCCGCATCAAAGATTATAGTGAAAATACAAAATGTCTGTGCTCCGCTTCAGACATTTTGGCTTTTTTGAAAGTGAAAATACGACAAGTACGGAAAAAATACGAAAAAAGTAGGGCATGATATGGAGCATCACGATCGCCAGAAGCTGACTACTAGGCGATGCAGCATTGGTCAAAGCAATTGAAAAAGCTGTCACGTAAATAACTAGAGAACTAAACTGATCAAATTATTAATTACATAAAATAACAGAGCATAAAGCAGCTAAGAATCCAGCAAATATGAGATGACAGCACAAGAAAAGAATAGCTGTAATATGGAACCTGCTTTGTTGCATTAGGCACTGTAGCGATGCATGCAAGGTATCGTTATTTTTGTCCAAAAATTGCGCGGTATTATAGCATACATCGGATGCATAATGGCAAACAATGAAACCTTCGTCTTCTCGCATTGCACGATGATGACGCGACGATTGTGGATGCTTAAATTTGTAAAAGCTTCGTTTTCGGTGATATCACTAACGTATCATATTAGAAAAAAGAGGAGATTCCGTAATATTTCATTAGAATATCGCTAAAAAGCTCTACGGAAGTCTGTCAATTATTTTGCTGTTTTCCAGCCAATACTGCAAGCAAGCCAAACTGTTCCGGCAATTTTTCTTCGAATACGCTAAATTTTAGAAGAAATATTAAAATTTTTCTGATTTCAAAACAAGTATTTACCACAAGATACGGATTCTCTTTGTGTGTAGCATGGGCTACCGTAGTAAAATGTTGTGCCGAAGATCGTGGTAAGCGAGCTTCATTGTCGAGCAGGTCGAAGAGCCCGTACAGTTTGCGCTCAAACAGATCTGCAAAAAATACCTTTTTTGGCCTCTTTTGTACATTTTAGAATCTGTCATTTGAGATTATAAAGTTGCATGTTGCTTTTCTTGCTGACAGCTGATGGATGTTGTGTACTAGTGAGTAATAACCGTGAGAAAGTAAATAACCACTTCGGTAATCCTCAAGCAGAAATGACGCAAGCATTCCAAAAAAGCGGGGTAGGTGTTAGTAGGTGGTGGTAAAGAATATAGACGAGGCGCTCACGATGCAGGTAAAG